TTTAAGTAAAATTTGATTAGATAATTGAAAAGTGCTGATCATCTATAAGCGATAAGCTGATTTTAATTTTTTGACCAAAAAAAAATATTGAGAAATTTGAGATAACACAGTAAATATTACTATGAAGAAGTAAAATTTATAAGTTAACTTGAAACAAACAATAGATTCACTAATTTTGTTTGAATATATGTTTTGAAAAGTATTTGTTTTAGTAAGTATAATGATAATTATATGAATAGTTTTTATGATAAAATAAAAGTAAGAAGGAATATAAGAGAACAAAAGAATAGAGAACTGCTACAAATCTTTCCTTATGCAATCAAAAGATAAGCAAAACTTTTAAACTTGAATAGACTTTGACCAGAAGTCTTATTCTACTGCACTAGTTATCTTGAAGATTTTTGAGTTTCTGAGTTGAGGCTTACTTGTAATAAAGAGTGTAAAGTATTTTTTTTTGCTTAAAATTACTATAAAAGGAAAATTTTTAACAAAACAAACATGATTAGGAAAATTTTAAAAAATACATTATAAATTATATATATAAATTTATATATAAAATATAAATAGAAATTAAAATTTTATTATATAAAAAATTTTTTGAAAAAATTAAATATAAAAATGAATAAAAATTTTAAGCTTATAAAAAAATTATAAAAGATTTATTATTATATTTAATAAATGTTATTAAAGTTAAAAAAACTTATAAAACTCTCTCTTGATCATGTTTACTTTGCTAAAAAATTTCCTTTTATGGTAATTTTTGTCAAGAAAAAATGTTTTACACTCTTTATTGCAAGTGAGCCCCAGTTCAAGAACTTTCAAAACAATTGGTGCAATGGGATGGAACCTCTGATCAAAGTTTACTCAAGTTTGAGAGTTTTGCTTATCCTTTGGTTGCATGAGGAAAGGCCCATGGCAGTTCTTTTTTCTTTTGTTCTCTTGCACCTCTTCTTTCACCTATTATAACATAAAAACTATCTACATCAATACCATTATATATGCTAAGTTAAATACTTTTCAAAAAACACACTCAAACAGAACTATTGAGTCTATTGTTTGTTTTAACACAATTTGCACCATTTTAAAATTTCTAAAACTTTTTGTTCAAAAAACTGAAATCAGTTTACCTTCTCCAGATGATCATCACTCTCCAATCATCCAATTAAATTTCATCAAAACAACAAAGAAAAAACTGAATCTATCCAAACTGGTTTTCCAATACAACAACAACAATAATAACAACTATAACAACAAATAATGTCATGTGTACTCTTCTATTTATAGTAATCAAAAAGTTGAAAAGATGGAACCATGTGTCTGTCCAGAAGCTTTTTTAAGGAAATAATTGGATTTCTACTTATAAATTTTATAGTCCATTTGACTTAGTTTTAGTTTTAGTCACTGTTGTTATTTTCTTTTTATTTATTTTATATTCAAAAAATCAAAAAATTTCACAAAATTTTGTCAAGTAAATAGACATAGTTACTACTCCACTATTTAACATTTTAATATTGCTTTTGAAATTTTTTTACAATATTAGTTAGATAGTAATCAAGTAGACAAGCTAGCATTTAACTTGTTGTATGCAATATGCATCCAAGAGATGTTGTTTTTTTCTCAATGTATACCTACAATATACAATAACAAATAAAGAAATAATATTTACCTATTGGAGAAAACTCCCTCCAAAAAAATGTTATTAAAGTTGATTTATTTTTTTATTATATAAAATTATTTTTAAAAAATCTCATCAACTAATATTTAAACCTCTACTGTTTATGATATAAACTTTACACTAAAAAAATATAACATATATTCAAATATCCAATAGCTTTAGAAGAAACTAATCAAATTATCAAGCAAACCAATTTTATTCTCTATTTCAATGGTAACTCAAAACCAATAATCCATATATGACAAGTCATAAAGCTAGTATATGGTATCATTGACAGTATTTTCTCTCTATCAGACTTCAACAACTGGGTACAAGTATTAATTAAAGCTCTAATACAATTATATAATATTATATAGAAATCTTGATGCACTATGGCCAACATTTCTTCACAAAATGATATAAAATAAAAAGACAAATTTCCTAATAATACAACCAAAGACAGTTAAACAACTTTCAAATCAAATCCATAAAAATCTCTATTAATATAAAAACTAATAACAATAGTTAACCTATCTATCTTAGTCACAAACACTTATATTCAAAACAACTTTAACTTTTTTAAGTATATTATTAAACTAATCCAAACTATATCAATATTATTTCCTTCAATATTGAGTAGGTAAACATAGCTACTTAATATCTTTTAACAAGATATATTGTTTTAAATTTATTTTTAATATTAATTATTTGGTTTTTATAAATAAGCTAGCATTAAATTTCCTATACTTACAAATAAAAGATATTGTTTCTTTTATGATGTATACTTTTAATATACAAATCAAATAAAGAAATAATATTTACTTACTTAAAAAAAAAATAATAAAATAATTTGAATATTTAAAAAGTGTTTTTAAATATTTATATAATATTTTAATTAATAACAAATTTAATTTAATTTAATATAAATTATATAAATAAATATTGTTACATTGTTTTTTAATTTAATAAAATATTATAAAGTTTTATAAAAAATAATAATAAATTATAAAAAAAATTATAATTATAATAATTTTTTAAAAAATTTTTATATAAGATTTTTAAATTCTTTTATTTTTTTAAAAAAATATTTAAATAAAAACAAAAAAAATATAATATAATTACAAGTTTTAAAAGAAAAAAAAGTTTTAAAAAGTTTTAATAAGTTTTAATATATTTTAAAGCAAAAATTAAAAAAATAATAAAATTTAATAAATGTTTTTAAATTATATAAAGCTGTTTAATATATTATTTATTATTATATAAATATTTTTAATATTGAAATACATCTTATAAAAAGAAACCACTTTTTAAAAATCTTTGAAAAAAATAAAGTTTTTAAAGTTTATATAATAAATCTTTACTTTAAAAATTTCTAACAAAAACAAAGTTTTTTATTATAAAAAATTTTGTAATTTTTATTTAATTATATTTACTTAAAATTAAATAATTTAAATTTATAATATATAATTATACAAGTATTTTATAAAAATTAAATTTTATTAAAAGATTTAAATTTTAATTAAATTTAATAAATAAGTAATATATATTTATAAATCATATTTGAAAATCTTATATTATTAATAAATAAGTTAAATCAAGAAAATTTATATAATGTATTTATATAATATCTATATTTACAATAATTTAATATGATTTAACAAACATTATTTTAATTTCATTACAAGTTATAAAAAAAAATTATTATTATTTATTAATACTAATGTTTTAATAACAAAAAAATGTATTGATAATTTTTTTAATTATTAATATTTTAAAAAATAAAAAATCTGCATATAATAAATATTATATACGAATAAAACGTTTGTATTTCAAAAAAATTATTTCTTGTCTATAAAAATAAACAAATAAATAAATTTTTTAAAGCTGTATATTATTTATCTTTAAAATACTATATATTACTGTATATGCATTTTTAATATTATGTATATTGATTTATATGGTTTGTTATTTGATTCTTTTTATAGAAAGAATTTTTAATATATAATGGTTGTATAAAAAAAAAGATTCCAATTATAGAATTCATTTGCTCAATGAACATTTTGATAATAAGAAAAAAAAACATACACAATAAATGTCAAGTCCTCAAAGTTCACAAGACAATAATACTTAAAAAGTAATACAAGTACATATACAATTACAACAATTATAGTTTAATTGACCATACAATATGTGTGGTCGATATTTGACAACTGGCCCCCAAAAACCACATCGTCCAAAATAAATGGTTAAACACGAATTTAGCCTTAAATCTGATTGGTCCGAAAGTGATGAAGCGGACCGAATCAAAACGTTATACGTGTCAATTGTACGCGCATGTTTGGACCGAGGTTTTTGCGGATGCGGTGGTAAGGCGTTTGTGCTAATAAATTAATAATGCACAAAATTTCATTTTGTTAGCACAATTCGTTTTATTTGCCTTCACCTGCCTCAAGAAAATTTGCAATGCGGGATCAGGCATTACAAAATATATATGCAGAACATTTCATCGTGAGTCCAATATATTTCGTGCACGCTTCGTGTTCCGAGGTAGTGCGGATGAATGCATTATGGTCCTGGTAAATATTCGGATCATCCCCTGATGATCATCTTAGCGATTCGCACGGTTTCTTTCTTGATCTCTCACCGCTTGCCCCTTTTATATCATGTTGTAACCTTTTACGTTGTGTAAATATCCGAGAGGGCGAATTACAAACGATTTGAATTAACTTCCTAACAGTTTGTTGCAGCTCGAATTTTCGTTTAACGTTCCGCCATGCATTAAATTCACCAGAGGAATGAAAAAATGATCGGCTACACAACAGCATGCATTGAATTAATTCAACTTGGGCAAATTGGCAGGAGGTTTTGTCCTACGATGTATAAGTTATGCCGGTGGGCGAGCGGGCGGGAGTCCAGTATCACGTGCGCGTTACCATTGATTGGTTATCATTTTAAATAAATAAATTTCTGCACATGATGTTTTTTTTTAAACCCCAATTTTTTGTTTTGGTTTATAAACATTGTTGATTGGTTCTTGCATCATCCAACCGCAATTCCATATCAAGCTGGGTGAGTATTGTTTTTGTTTCTGTGCTGTGCAGCCTGTGGTTTTACGCGTACGGTACTACAAAGAAAATTTTAAAGACCAAATTTCTCGTCTTTACTGTATCTTGCCACTTCACTCTCCTCCTTTGATTTACTTTCAAAGAGTAAAAAGTGCACAACTTTACTTAGGTCGTCTATAACCGTCTCCATACTTACAAAAACTTCTTTTTTTTTTTTTTTGTTCCGTTCCATCCAACCCTTTTTTTAGTCCTTCCCCCCATTAAAATTATCTTATATGACCATGAGAGAAATTGTTCACATACAAACCGGCCAGTGTGGTAACCAAATAGGTGCCAAATTCTGGGAAGTTATCTCAGATGAGCACGGTATCGACTACTCTGGCTCTTATGTTGGAGACACCGACCTTCAACTAGAAAGAATATCCGTATATTATAACGAGGCAGCTGGTGGAAAACATGTTCCACGCGCTGTCCTTGTCGACCTTGAACCCGGTACCATGGACTCCGTTCGTGCGGGTCCTTTTGGTCAACTTTTCCGCCCAGATAACTTCGTCTTTGGCCAAAGTGGTGCTGGTAACAACTGGGCTAAGGGTCACTACACAGAAGGTGCCGAACTTGTCGACTCCGTATTAGATGTCGTTCGCAAAGAAGCCGAGTCTTGTAACTGTTTACAAGGTTTCCAATTCACTCACTCACTCGGTGGTGGTACTGGTGCCGGTATGGGTACTTTGCTCATCTCCAAAATCCGTGAAGAATATCCCGACCGTATGATGTGCACATTCTCTGTTGTACCTTCACCCAAGGTAAATTATTGAACAAAATTCATTATATCATTGCGTCATTTTAATAGTTATGTGCGTTGACGCGTTTTCGTGTCAATATTGTCGCGTACCGAGAACTCATTAAGTAATTTTATGTATACATTTTTAGGTATCAGACACTGTCGTCGAGCCATATAATGCTACACTCTCCGTACATCAATTGGTTGAAAACTCCGATGAGACTTTCTGTATCGACAACGAGGCTTTATACGATATCTGCTTCCGCACATTAAAATTGAGCACACCAACATATGGCGATCTTAACCACCTAGTATCCGCCGTCATGAGTGGTGTTACGACATGTTTGCGTTTCCCAGGTCAATTAAACGCGGACCTGAGGAAGTTGGCTGTCAACATGGGTAACTACTTTACCTTCTACTCGATAATGGTCAATTAAGAAATGTATAATTCACGTGTATTTGACATTTATTTCTTTAGTACCTTTCCCACGTCTTCACTTCTTCATGGTTGGTTTTGCGCCCTTGACTTCCCGAGGATCTCAAGGTTATCGCGCCTTGACCGTCCCTGAGTTAACGCAACAGGTGTTCGACGCAAAGAATATGATGGCTGCATCAGATCCTCGTCACGGAAGGTATTTGACAGTTGCCGCCATGTTCCGAGGTCGCTGTTCAATGAAGGAAGTTGAAGATCAAATGTTGGCCGTACAAACCAAGAATAGTTCATACTTTGTCGAATGGATTCCCAGTAATGTTAAAAGTAAGTTAAAAATCGTCCACCCTCTGCCTATTCACAATATTATTAACTAACATCACCCTTCTTGAATTTGATCAGCCGCTGTTTGTGATATTCCACCAAAGGGTCTTAAGATGTCGGTCACATTTATTGGTAATTCTACTTCCATCCAAGAATTATTCAAACGTATCAGTGACCAGTTCACTGCTATGTTCCGACGTAAGGCTTTCCTGCATTGGTATACTGGTGAGGGTATGGATGAAATGGAATTCACTGAAGCAGAATCAAACATGAACGATCTGGTATCTGAGTAAGTAAATTGTTCCCTTTCTCCTTTTTGATCTTTATTATCAGAATATTATAATGTACCAATTTCGTAACTTTTATAGATATCAGCAATACCAAGAAGCTTCTGCCGAAGAGGAGCAAGAATACGAAGAAGAGGAGATGGAAAACGAAGCCGAAGCTTAAAAAATTCATATTACATATATCTCACGTTATATTGCACATTTGTCATCATTCTATACACTTTATATAATGATTTTTATACTTTATATATAAACATGAATTCAAAAAAAAAAATTTTTTTCAGAACCCCTTCATAGGTTTAACTTGCTTCTAAATAAAAGGTTATTTACACGTGTGGAAAATGAGAAAAGAAATGTATATCAGCATTATATACGCGTCGTCTTGAAACGGTTACCTGACAAAATAGTTTATTTTTTTATTTATTTATAATTAGAGACGATTATTTCAATTTTTGATTATTTTTGAGAATCAAAAAAAAAATGAATGTGAATAGTTAGTTGCATAGAGCGAATTCTTTTTTTTTTTTTTAACTTTGTAATATTCTTTGGTACGTGATAACATAGATGACGAAAGAATAAAATTGATTGGCTGATTGGGCCTCCACTTCGAATCGAGTGTGTTTGTTTCACGTGACCAAAAGGCTAACCATCAAAGGAAATTTTGTTAGCATCTACCATACATACGTCTGGCGTTTTTTAAAGTTCAACAATTAAATTTTTTCTACTCAATTGTGAATGTAACTAAATTGTATGAAGATGTTTGACCCCGTTAACACTAACAATAACACCTATTATGTTTATAAACCAAAACAAAAA